CTTCCGACAAAGATAGCACGGTAGCGTTGTTGTTAAAGGCCTCTGAAACTGTTGAGCAACGCCTACTAGAAGAACAGAAATTGCGCCCGCCAGTGTTAATATCGGATTTAGCTGTTTTACTAGAACATATCTGTCTTACCAATGAGAAAGACCTAGCCATTTTCGCCATCGCTCTGGTAGCCTTCTGGGGCACCGCAAGATTGGGCGAACTAGTATCCGACGATGTTTCGAAGAGGATGCCTATTTGGGGAGATGTAGTCTGGGCATCAGATTATTCGTATGTCAAGATCAAGATCCACGGGGCGAAGACGGCCAAACCGGGAGAGATACAAATCATATACTTACATCGACAAAAATCGGAACTAGATCCTGTACGAATGCTGAAGCGCTTATATGAGTTTAGACCGAGGAGAACAATCGATCCGGTGTTCGGCTTTGCTAGTGAGAAGGATGGTCGAATGATAGTTTATAAGAAGCAGTTCGTGATAAATAGACTTTGTGATTTCTGGAACATGTACAGGCCGGTGAGACATAAGCTGTTGTACGGCCATTCATTTCGAATCGGAGGTGCTTCCCTGCGCTGGAATCTAGGGGCCTCGAGGGAAGAAGTGAAAGTTAATGGTCGATGGGCGTCTGATGCGTATCAAATCTATTTGCGGAAATTCAACGACAAGGAGTTAAAAGAGACAATCGAATGGTTAAAGGTCTTACGCCTAGACAATTGAAAGCGGGTTGAGTGTTGTTTCGTGAAAAGAGATGGTTTACTTGTACCATCCTCGTCTGCTTTCGGGTTTAGATTTAATTTAGTGACTATGTGTGTCGATACTTGTGTGTAGATCTCTTAGAACTATGTTGAACCGGGAAACTTTAAATTAAAGTTCAAATTACAGGTGGCATGCATAGATGTGAGAAGTTCTCAATAGGACTGTATGAGATCCAATTGAGTTAAAGTGACTCACCTTGACATCTAGTCGCTGAACTGTTTAGTCACATCTAAGAGGAGTCGGGGTGGATAGAAGGAGAACGCGATGCCTCTTAGACACTGGAACGTGAGTCAACGCGTTTGTGTAACAGAGACCAGCGTAAGTTACCACTCCGGTAGAGGTTGGGGAGTTCGACTTCTCAAGGCTCACGTCTCGTAACCTTCGTGAGATCAGGGGGTTGAGAAGTCTACTTCTCAGGCCAGTTCTCGCCCTGGGGTAGGAGCTTCTAAGACGGGGAATTTTATCCCCATACCTGATTGCCCCTACTCCAGGACTACCCCCACACCACGAGGTCTACTGATCTCAAGGAAGAGACAGTAGAAGGATTGGTAGAACTAGCATGTTAAGTTAGAATCTTCGTAAGAGAATTGAAGGAAGAATCTGGAAACGCAGAGCTCGTTGGATTTAAGGAATCTAGAGATAGTCTCCCCTACAGACAAAGTTCTTGCACTCATAGATAGTAGAATGGATGATATCCTTTCCGGTGGAAATTGAGGATGAATTCACAAAAACTTGCCTGTTTTCTTATCAGCGGTCCGGACTGGGTCAGCCCAATCTTCCTCAAAGGTGCACTGAGACCCGCTTGACCCGGTCCTGGTCCTGAGACCAACCCGGTTTTTCCGGGCCGGGTTGGTGCATTACTTAAAATCAGCAACTTATATCCTTCCCTTCAGCTTTCCATACCATTGAAAACATTTTAAATTTCCAGTAAGCTCAGAATAAGAAATGGTGGCACCCGCTGCTCAATTGGCTAGATTACAATAAAAACTTGCTGTGCTTGGCATTGAGCTCTCTTGACTTCCATCCCACCCAAATTGCGGCTGTTAGAGCATCCGCAATTGTCGGGTTAACTTGCCGGAATAGCTAGGTATTTAACTTAACTATTTCAAAATTTCCACAATGATCAAATTCTAACTGATTGTTAGTTAGCTTTGCGACAAAAAATTGGTAGGCTGGGACAAAGTTATCCCAGCCTACCGACACGGTAGTTAACCCCGTGCCCTCAAAAACACAACACACACCGCACTACCTCCGCATCACCCATTGCCCTCTACCCACTCACCAAATTCGGAGCTTCAGATGGATTAACCACCAGCTCAACCTCAACCACTCAATCCACCACCTGCTACCACCAAGAAGCGTGGTGACAACTTTGTGATGCCTGAAGACAAACAGCTGGCAATCTTGTGGCTTGCCATCAGCCAAGATGCAGTGTTTTCAAACGATCAATCCGGAGCCAAGTTCTATGAAAAATTGGGCAAGCACTTCAAGAACGTTTTAAATTATGAACAGGTAGGAAACATGAATTGATTTTATTTTATTTATCTTTTTTGAAGATTATGAACACGTAGGAAACAAGAAATCAATTTATATTCTTTATACTCTTGATGAATTATATCTAATTTCTTCAAATAGCTCATAAGAAACATGAGATTAACTTGACCCTTTCAAACTAAATATTGACCCCACCACTTTTCATCCACATTGAAATCTTGAGATCTTCCACTAATTGTCAGTGTTTATCTTGGTTTTTCAGCTCAGCCATGGTTTCATAGTACCAAGCAAGAGTGTAACCAAGTTGAGGATCAAGCTGGTTTGGATGTATGTCAACGTCATGTTGAGATCAATAATCAATGGTTATTTGATCTCTTTTGCCTCTATCTTCAACTACCATGTTGTGGATTATGATACAACATAATATGACTTTGGTCATATCCATTAAATCCCAAAGACGACATGGTTCACAAAGGATGTGCCATTGTGCTTGAAGAACACCAAAAGCCCGCTCTATGTCCTTTCGGAGAGCCTCCTGAAGATTTGAAAAGGGCCTGCTGGCTCCATCACCCGGACGATGGATTGATTTGATGAGGACTGGCCATGAGAGATAAATCCCATTGGCCAGGTAGTATCCCCGAGTGTACTCATGTCCGCTGACTTTGAAATGAACCTGATCATTTTAACATTCAAAGAAAGAAAGTTACTTGAGATTAACTCATGATCAAAATGGATTTGTGTAAAAAAACTCTGACTGTTGACCAAATTATCAAAGAGTGGGCTGTTTTATAACACATTGATATCATTAAGCGCTCCTGGTGTGCCAAAAAATGCATGCCATATACACAGACTCTTTGAAGCAACTGCCTCAAGACCCACTGATGTGTATTTTTCTTTCCCTTCATACTGACCTGCCCATGCCTGAGGGCAATTTTTCCATAGCCAATGCATTCCATCAATGCTCCCTTTACATCCAGGGAATTGTTGCATCTTGTTCTCTTTCAATATGATTTCAAGTTCATCAGAGTTTGGAGGTCGTAAGTACTCTTTTCCATATATGTCTATTATGTCATTTACAAATATCTTCATAGATTGAATAGCTGTACTTTCTCCAATTTTGAGGTACTCGTCGAATGCATCAGCAGAAACTCCATAGGCTAGTTGTCGTAGGGCAGCCGTCATCTTCTGGTAAGTTGAAAGACCAAGTTTCTTATAGCAATCCTATGTAAGTCATGTTTGAATTAAATCAGCACCATCATGATTGATTTCAAAATGTTAAACATAGAGCACTTACCCAACGTTGTATCCAATAGATATTGTGCTCCTGTAGCTCAGCAGCCATCCTGCTAAAAAGCTCAGGACTCATTCTAAACCTTCTCTCAATATAAGCACGAGGGTACAGTGGCGAGTCTTGAAAGTAGTCACGTCGTAGATTGTGGTTGGCAGCAACTTGGTCATGGTTAATGACTGTGCGTGTTCGGGGTGTTTTGTTGATTCTGTGTGGTTGAAGAAAGAATGACAAGATCATATCGTCATAATCTTCGTCTTCTTCTTGATTAATGATGTTCAATTGCTGTTGAATGATTTCTGAGGCGCCCATTTTACAAATCAAAAAATGGATGTGACACAAAAGATGAAGAGAGTTTAGCTCTAGCCTAGTGCTAGCCACTGTGGAACCAGGCTCCCAGCGTGGGTTAAGTGTTGGCTAATACACCTTTGACGCCAACAACTGTGGGATTTGTTGTCAAATTAGTTAAACCCGGCTAAAGATATTTAACTTCGGGTTAACTAACGCCAAATTCAACGCAAATGATTGCGGATGCTCTTAAGTTAGTCTCGCAAGGTCTCGCAGGAGTCCACTGTGCTATTGTACATAACAAATTCACTCCCCCTCGTGAGGCTTCGGGGAGAGACTTGGCTTAACAAAGCCCTCTCCGCGCGGCCGCGACCACGCAGAGGGCCTTATGAGTAAGTGATTGTTCAGGGCTTTGTGAAGATGAGACTTCGTGGAATTTTTGGGTGGGACCTGGTGCTACCTGGTGGGATTCTGTTGAGTTTACCTGAACACCGGTTTCCGCCGATATGCCCAGCCCGGGTCAGACAGCGGCTTTTGGCCGCAGCTCTTCCGGAGGCCTCAAAGTCTAAAGCTGTCTAAAGAGCCTCAGTCTTGGCACCTTCCATTCCTGATGGAAGCTGAAGGACGTCTTTGACAGATGTCATGAAGTAGCGATAGACTTCAGTACAATTGATTGCGGGCTGACTTGCTCTCTCTTGCTCATTACTACTTGCTTAAAGTCGAGTAGAGTCAAGTTCATGTGAACGGCTGGAGCTCGTCGATATCTCACAACGATTGATGAAGTTGATGCGTTCGTAGTTTTGCGAGATGCACATCCTTTGGTCACTCATTTTAACCCATCGGACTTCTTTTCCATTCGTATCATAATTTATAATACAACCACGCGCACTCAAACTTCAAGGGGAAAGGCTATATATCCCGATGAGTATCGAGCCAACGGCTACTTCTCCGGCATGGGAGGTCGTATACGAACTGGCACGCAAGCAGATATATCCACACCCATCCTCTCTCCAGCGCTCAGTTTTTAAGGCATCGACCGTGTTGTGCCCCCTGATAGGGCTATTATACGTAATAAGCGGTGTAAAACGGCTCTGTGATAGAGATACTCGATGGCTTGTCAGGATAGACCGCGGCGGATACATGTATCTAAACGGACATTTGGTCATCCCAATTTGGGGGTGTATTTTCACGGCTGGTCAGCTTTGAGGTCAATTCTGATGTGACTACGATGTAACAATTCCGATTTCCACATTTTTCCCACTTCTAGTCAATCTCGCAGTCCTCGTATGCATGCAGATGGATTTCTCATCTTTTCTTAAGTGGCATACCATGGTCCTGCAGCATTGCACGCATCCTCTTTTGCTCTGTTTTGGTGAGTCTTGCAGCATTTGTTGAATTGACAAACAACACTTTGGACAGTGTCAAAGTGTATTAGTGATGACCAGTTACTGATTGAGCATTATTTGTTCGGCAAGGTTGGTCAAGAAGTAAGGGTTTTGGTCTTGATAGTCCTCATCACAATCTAATGTTTGGCTTTCTCGCGCGGCAAAAGCCTGGTCCTTCTCCTACGCGGCGCCCCCAGCAGCTTTTCAATTGGATCCCCAGCGGCAACCCACGTCTACAAATTATAACTATCGCAGATCGTTGGGACCGAAACTCTTCAATGTCGGTAATATTGCGATGTACATCATCCCGCTTGTCTACATCTTACCTTTCACGATAATCAACGCCAAGAACGTTCATGAGATCCATCGTGTCTGGGCGGTGTGTGTTCGGAAACATGAAATCTTAACATCATTACACAGCTTACCCGGATCGGAAAACTCTTCTGAACTGACAAATCTTACAAATCTTCTTCAATCCGATATGATTCGGCGACTAGGGACCCTTCAAGCCCTCGGCGAGGGCATTTTGCTTAATTCGCGGTATATCTGTTTCGGCTTGATGATTTTTCAAGTAATATTATTATGCGCCTTTTCTTCAGCGACCTGGCGGATCATGGACGCACTTTGGTCACAAGTCAGAACGCTTCGAGAATGCGCCTCACGTAGACGCTTATTGTCAGCTGCAATCAACCAAAACGTTCGCCAGGAAACCCCTACACTCGAAGAATTGACTGACCAAATACATCTCTGTCACCGAGGGTCGGTGTGGAACGCCGAAGTGACTGACTCGTTATGGCAATCCAGTCTGTTTGAAGACCGCCGAGAAGATTGGGAAAAAATCGATGAGCTGATACTGAAACAAAAACATGCTTCCCTACGACGGTATGCTTCTAACGCTCTATGTCAGGCAACCTTGATCATCGTGACTGTATCGGCGTACCTGTCACTCACCATGATTACGGGCAAGTTCGGTTCACTTTCACACAAGCACCACAAATGTGTAATAATCTGAGATCATTTTGCCTCATACCCAACACTGTGTTTAGTCACCAATGCTCTCGATGTCCCTCGTCGTACTCGACTCTTGGATTTTCAAGTGATCGTGGTCGTATGGCAAAACGTCATCTGGAATTGCGGATTGGGTATCTCTTTGGGTGTGGTTAGTAGTTTTGTGCATACTCTTGTTGCACCTTATGTGTAAAAATTCACTCCCCCTATGTCTGATGGTGGTCTCTCGTGATCGACGCAACTGTGACTTACCAGATATCATGCATCATGGTCTTTTCGCCTACACCAGCCCCGATACAAGAGGAGCACGCTCTCAAATCTCTTTATGACGAGGATTCCTGATTTTTTTTTCAAAGCTACCGGGGGGCTCAGTCGCTCCATACCCATTCACGACTAGTCTTGTTTTTGTCTGATCCATTTTCTTGTAGTCTCTTCTTGATGTGGATCATAGAGCGGCCGTTTAAACTACTCCATTGAGACTACCATCTGGCAGAATGCGCACGGCTTTGAACTGTCATATCAGGAAGCTTCAGGAGGTCACTATAGGAAAATCCCGCTTTCATTATCATAGGCCTTGACTATTTTCTTTTTTACCCTCTATGGCCAATAAATTGTGTTTTACAAAGCTTTTGTCTGGTTTTTGATGCAAGGGTTTTGATCTTTGAATAGGGTTCCATCTCTAGACTATGACTTGTCCAGTTCTCATAATTTTTCTAGCCTTTCTTATTCAAGCAATCTCAGTGTAGGTCTTTGCCTTTGTAAGGCTCCGACCTGGTGTGTGGGGGGGCCGCAGGCCGCGGACTGCTCGTCTGAGAAAGGTTTTCGTGGGCGGGGGCGGGTGGGTGGCCCATGATAACTTTCTTACCTCGTTTCTTTTGTTTGTTTTATTACCTTGTTTTTATCTCACTTTTGTCTGAATATCTGAGATCATCATCCTTATTTTGCCCTTTGTTTCATTGTTACTATTCTTTCCTATTAGCTTGTCTCTCTCTGTTTCTTTTGCTGTGACTCTTTGTAGGGTGGGTGACACGGTTCTTTGAAAAAGGAAATATATTCTATATTTCTGCTAGAAGCTTAAATCTTAGATTTATAGATTGGAGACTGAGGTGTATGAGTGTTCTGAGGCGTACAGACTTGTGAAGATGAAAAATTTTCACAGTTTGTATCGCCCGTGCATCGTCAGGCCGGGTATTGTCCCGGCCCTGTCTCCTTTGACTCATACACCGCGTCATCTGTCCCAATGGAACTCACCGATGACGTCGTGCCTTTGGTCACCAGTGGGAATGGGTCTGGCTCTGGGCTGATCAGCAGCTGGGTTACGCTTGACTGCCGAGAGGCAAATTGTCTTATTAGCGTGCAAAAAGGAGAAAAACGTGCATAAGACTGAAAGAGAAGAAGATAACAGAAAAAACTGGTCCGAGGACCTGACAGGCTAGAGAAACGAAGAAAGTTCTGCGGGCGGAACATTTTTAGCTAAGGTTTGACAAGTTTTTATGAGCCTTTTGATGAGAAAAGTGAAAAATATAAGAGAGTTAAAGAAGAGACGGAGAACAATAGTTGAAAAAATTGCACAACACATTTTTGTAGTCCTGTGGACTGTTCTGTGAAGAGATAGAGACCAGGTTGCATGGTTGAGTTATAGCATAGTTTGGGCGGGTGGGAGGTTGACAAAAAAATTGAGGAATTTTTGTTTGAGCTAATAACGATGCAAAAGGCTTATAGTAGGACAAAAGCTAACGGAAAGTAGGAAAATTTTTAATAAGAAATTTTTCAAATGTGGGACAAAGAGTTCCTCACACCGTGATGGGTATTTAGGGAAATGATGTTTTGCAGAACTTGCATCCTAATGTCCATCCTCTGAAGGCACGTGAGATGGAAGTATCTCCGCCAGAGAGGATGGGACGTTATGGTTCCACCCCGTGAGCTTTCACTACCCGGTCGCCTTTCAACCCATTCCCGTTGGTCAATACTCGTACCGACTCCCATCAATCTCATAAGTCGTACTTTCGTTTCAATGTAATACATCAATGCACCAAGATCATACGTAGTAGTTTCTCTTTGTGTGTAAGACATTTTCAACTTGAATATCCTGAGTTTGTCCCACTCTAATATCCTCTCAGATTTTTTCAAAAGCACAACAAGTGAACAACAAAGCCAAATAATTTAGAACTTACTTCAGATTGAAAATGGGCTCTTGACTATGTGAATGTCACTTCACTCAAGCTACAAAGTCAGTTTCAAGACATTGTGTACTTCTATGAATTTTATGTGCATCTATATCATCATCTGGATTGAAAAAACATCTGTTGTGAGAGATCTTTATCACTATATCAGAAGTATATTTGTTTGGTGGTGCACTTTTAATGGTATGGGTCAAGACTTGAATTTCAAACACTTGACCACAACCGGTCTGTCCATCATATGGTGTTATGCTACAAGAATTCATCAAGTGCAATCATACATAACACCCTAGCCATCTTTATTGTGCATTCTTTTAAATTTTAGGGCTCTCCACACATGAGATCTTGTGGAGGGACTGCATTGGATTTTAAAATTTCCAAAAAATATATCAGAAAGATATTACCTATGGACTTGGAAGACTGAGTCCATGTAAATTTGGAACAATTGCTGTGTTCACCTAAGCAATTTGTGGTGAGAAATTGCATCTAGGAAAGTGAGGAAAATAGTGGCTCTCAAAGTAACCCAGTTTTCAAAAAACCCACTTGTCCCAGTTGACTTTTTGGCTGTAAGCTATCACCAAATGTCAAGTTGATACACCAAGTTACTTCCAAAAATCAACTGGGTGTTGGAGTGTATGTTGTTATGTGCCCACGTAACTGTACCGGTACAACTTTATATAGGGGTTTTAGAGCATCCGCAATTGTTTGTGTTGAATTTGGTGTTAGTTAACCCAAAGTTAACAATCTTTAGCCGGGGTCAACTAATTTCAAGACAAATCCCACAGTCGTTGGTGTCAAAGCTGTATTAGCTAACACTTAACTCACTCTTCAAAGCCTGGTTCCACAGTGGCTGGCACTAGGCAAGAGCTAAGTCAATCAAATGATAATCGATTATCAATCACAGCATGATGTCAAGATACATCCAAATCAACTCAATCCTCAAAAATGTAGCCTTCAAGTCTTTAAGATATCCAGTTCATTTCAATTTTCCTTCCTACATAGGTATAATCTATTGAGTGCAATTACAATCCATCAAAAAAATAAATAAAATAAATAAAATAAAATTATTCCATCCTTGCTACTTGTTTATCATCCAAGAAAAGATAAACGAAATAGAACTATTTCATCATTCCTACTCAGTTATAATCTTATGAGAAAGATGAATAAAACAAAATCAATCCTTTTTTGCTACTTGTTTATAACCTAATGGGCTATTAAACGATGGTAAAAAAACAATCCAGGTTGATTGAGAGGTTGGCCGAGAGGTTGATTGAGTGGCTGATTGTGTGGTTGATTGTGTGGTCAAGGTTGAGTTGGTGGTTGATTGATCTGAAACTTTGAAGTTGGTGAGTGGGTAGAGGGCAATGGAAGAAGGATGAAGTGCGGTGGTGTGTTCTTGAGGGCACCGAGTTAGCTAATGCGCCGGTAGGCTGGGATAACTTTGTCCCAGCCTACCAATTTTTTGTCGCAAAGATAACTAACAATTGGTTAAAATTTGACCATTGTAGAAATTTCAAAATTGGTGAGTTGAATAATTAGCTATTCCCGCGACTTAACCCGACAATTGTGAATGCTCTTAGTCTGCTATGTTGATACTAGGAGCCATACCTGCCTCCCCACATGATTGGCATACAGCGTCTACAGCTCAATGGTCAGAGCACTCATCTGGATTAAGAGGTTTGTGGGTTTGACTCCTACTAGACACATCATTTTATTGTTCCACTTTGAGAGCCACTATTGCATTCTGTGAACTGAGTAAAATTTTATTTTTCATTTACAGCCGTTGTAAGATCTATTGGTAGATTTTTCAATTGTTGTGTTGTTGCCGGATTTAACGCAAAGGTCAAAAACTCGAAAAAACCCTTCTGAGATTGATAACTCTACTGCCATTGGTCCAATCTAGCACAAAAACAATTGAGTTAGTCTGAGAGTGTCATGATTTCGAGGTTTTTGACTTCAGAAGTTAAATCTGGCGACAACAAAACTTTTCAAAAATCTGCTGATAGATCTTACAACGGCTGTACAAGAATTCTGTGATCATAACATTTAATCCCAAAGCCACTTTGTTTACAAAACTCAACAAAATCCACCATTAGTGTGATTTTCAAGTTTTGTTAATGGTCAGAAACCCTTTCACTGAAAATCAATCTGCATTCACCATCATCATTGCTAATCCCAATTCTGTGTATCTCCATCTCCCAAACCACAGACATGAGCTTTCATGTCATTTCATTGAAGCTAAAAGTTCATCTCACCACCATCACGGGGATAACTAGCACATTCTCACACCTGTAGCACCGAGATGGCCCCGCTTATACCCGAAGATAACGTTGTGCATTATCAACGGCTTGGAGCCGAAAAACCGCCTGCAGATGAGGACAGATTTGTCAGAGTCATCTGAAGAAATTTTTCGAAATTATAAGACATTTCTTCCAGAATTTCTTCATGTTTAATCTTCACTTCATGTGTCATCAGGCATGTACTGAACACCCAAAAAAGGGATTCTCAGATTATCACCACCTCCAATGCCTTAAAATGGTTGTATCAGTGTAAAAATCTCAAGATCAGGCAAAGTCAGGCTCATCTGACCAAATCTGACCAAATCTGACATCAGATTCAGTGTGCGTGTTGTAGCCAGACTCATCTGCTACAGTCATGGCTATCAACACAGCTATGACTGAAGCAGATCAATCTGGCTACAGCATACAGATTCATCTGTCATCAACAGTACAATCAACCCAGATGAGATTCAAAACTTGGCGCTCGTCATGGCCATCCACATACATATAACTGCAGCAGATGAATCTGATGAAAGCATACAGATTCATCTGCCATGAACAACAACATCAATTCAGATGAGACTCGAAATGTATTACTTGAAATTAAAATATACATTATACTGCACATCACAATCAGGGGCAAAATCATCTGTGCTCATCTGACAACTCATAACTTATGAATACGTATGTAGGTTGGATGAAGTAGTACACATGAGGGGGAAAATCATCTGTCCTGATCTGCATACATGAGTACAAACGAGGGGAAACTCATCTGTCCTGATCTGCACAAATGGCCTTCGGATCAAGCTTGCGTATGTACCGACAATTTTGAGGGGGGTTCTCATCTGACCTTGTCTGTCTACCTGAGATGCTCAATTCTCACTGGATCACCCATCACACTGAGCCACCCTCACATTGCTTTTGATCTCGCTGTCTCACATTTTCACAAACAATCAATCAAACACTATGAATTATCATTCATCATATGTATACCCAATGACCTCCCAGAGAATAAAGAAGATAAAAAATCAAAATGAAATGAAATCATCTTATAATTCGATGTACCATTTCCTTCCACCTCGTCTCTAAGGCTTGATCCTCAGCAACATTTGCTCCACAATAGACCCGGGTGCGATGTAATAAGGACAACATGTGGGAGTCCCATGTGGATATTAGTCTTGCGTGTTCAAGGTAGACACCGTGGTATAAAGATATCAAGACGTTAGTACAATCATCCCACGCTGTCTTTGTCATACGCGCAGATCTGCTTCCGGAGACCAAGTCAATTGGCAGAACTGCTGCCCGTGGGTCCCACCCTAACCAAATGAATTATCAGACATTAGTTGGTCAAGGATGCAAAGAATAGAAAGATTGTGTATTAAAAAGCACCTACTTGAGCTGGAAAGCGTCCGAACATCTTGTATTTTTGCATCCGTTGTTAAAGACCATATCAGCATTTGTCTTACTTCGCGTGAGATCCTTCGCAGCTCCTCTTCAGAGCGACAGTACATTAGATAAGCCTGAATACCCTGCTGGGTGTCAGCATCCGTAGCCCAAGGTTCGTTAGGATGTGTGAGATGCCCAAAGTTCCAAAAGGCATCATCTATGATCTAGTGCCAGAGCTTTGGCTTCGTCAAGAGTGTAATTAAGCAACGGAGTGTTGTCCGGATGGGAGGTGTTATACTCTGTCACCAGATCGTGGAATGTTTTCCATTTAGTTCGGAATAGCTTCTGCTTGGTATTCATCATACCCTTCATCCGATCCTGCATTGAGGTACCTGTTACAACCGACACACCAATTATATATTGCTAATCCCCTTGGAGTTTTGAGCGTAGTTTACAAACCTGTTGCCCATTTTTTTGACAATTTGATGATGCCAACCTTGGCCTCGTAGAGGTTTGACTTTGCCACTTTAACCTGTATCAGCAAACGTCGGGTTGGGTCTGGAATATAAATCGGTAGTCAGCATCTAAAAATGAACTAATGCAACATAAATATTTCACCTGAGGCATCTGGCATGTTTATGAACAGGTCACTTCCAAGTTCCAATAATACTCGCTCCACTTCCTCTTCCAGGAAGATGATGTGTCCGGGCAAGCTTGCAAGAGTCCTATTTTCGGCGGCAGTTCTTTGTCGACGCCTGCGTAGGTAATCCCTCTTTTCTCTGTAGATATATAGCACATTCATTATCACCGCTTTGCATTAAAATCACAAGCTTGAGATAGTGAAAGTTTTTACTTTGCCTCTCGAAGGTCTTCTTCATGTTCAACCAACTCCTCGATTTGAGATTCCAATTGCTGTGTATTTGTGTCGCCGATGACCTCTGCCTGGACTCGTTTTTGACAAGACCACTGTGTTGCAAAATAGTTGTTTGTAAAACCGCGCTTGAGTTCAAGCGCTCTGAGAATACGGCGCTTGTCGGCCAATGTTTTCTCAGCTGTTTCCAACTTTTGTAGGCACGAGTGAGCTAAGATTGATACCATAGATAAGTCAGAGGCGTGAAGACATACAGTATGATCAGTGACTTACCAGAATGGGTCCGCAAGATACCATTCTCATGTTCCGCTTTGAGATCCAGCGCATCTATTCGATGCTGCTTGGTGGAATATCGCAGAGAACCTACTAGCTTGCAAAGCTTACACCAACACCGCTCACAACCTTCGCCATCCGACAAGCCCCATCCGTCGTTTATTCTTGGGTTGTAATCTAATTGGCAACTCCAACTGTGTACGTACACGTGGAACACGCTTGTACCAAATTTAAACCGACCTTTTGATCTTTCCTCTGCGAATAGGTTGTTCTATGTTCAAATGAAGTGTTAGTGGTTCAAACTATGATAGATGAAATTCAATACAAGTGAAGATTCTCAACTCGGACCAGACCTTTCTCAATATTACATCCGATGTCATAAAGGAAGGCAACCCTTGATTCTGTCTCATCCAACTAGTTGAGTACCCAGTCAATGAGAGCGTGAGCGAAATACGACCTACAAGGTCAAGTAGTAAGCCCTTTTTCATGTGATACGACAGCAAGTAGTGATGAGACCTTACTTCTCACCACTCTGAACTATGTTGACAAAAGCCAACGCGTGGTCGTGGCGGCACACCATCGCCAAAAGGCCTGTATCATCACAGGCACGCCACGTAGAGGCACTGCGTGAGTCATTTGCAGCGGTATGCATCTGTGTGCAAGGGTCCTGAGAAAGGGAATCAAGCATATCAGCGTAAATCATGATAATGATGACGTTAATGTTAACTCACTGGTGGATCATTTGAAGAAGAGTGTACACCACTATCCCACTTATTGACCTCATTTGGATGCAGGAAGAGGTTTGGATATCGAATTGGAATCTCGCTGACCTCGACACTGGAGGATTTGTGTCTTCTTTGCTGGAAGTTCCCGTCAATACAATTAACGTAGTCTGGTTCTGTTTCCTCTTTAGAATATTCATTACCTCCAAAACACCGCGGGCAATTCGCGCCCAGCTTGTCTTTTTTCAAAAGACGCATAGCGCGGAACAGAAGGTCTTTCTCCAACTGATTCAAGCGCCTGTAGGCATCAACTGCGCACGAAAGAGTCCGTCCCCATCTGGTAGGCTGGAGATGACTTGTTCAGTCAGTTTCTGAACAGGAATACCAAATGAATAATGTATACAACGTACCTTGTAAGTGACGTCCTCTTTGAACTCGCGTGCTGGCCGATGAAACTCATCAAACGCCTGTGCGAATGGATGGGTACGAGCACAGCAAAACTTCCATATCACATCATGGAGACGAAGGAACCGTAATGAGAACGCAATCTCTGGTAGAACAGGAGATCCCCCAACATAACCCATCAGGATTAGCCGAACCTGGTCTGGTTGGCACGAGCAAAACTCCACCGGTTGAACTGTGTGCGCTGTCATGAAACAAACACCAGTTAGAATACATTTCATATATGATGTGTATTAATGTGATTAAATTACTCAAGATATCAATCATAGCCAGGTGTCGAATCCGTTTCTTTGCCACGGAACATCGACAAGGAGGTTTTCTGTCCAAATTCCAATCCACCCGACTCCAATTCAAAGTGACTTTTTTGCACAGCATGAAGACTTTGAACATAGGTTCAATAACCTCCTGCCACTGTCGCTCCTCTCGTATTCGACACTTTTGGTTTGTATCACCAAATGTGGCCGTGACTACAACCCCTCCTGTAGACGCAATTGACTGCTGAGACTCGACCGATTTGGTATCGGAGTCCGAAATCTCGGAAGTAGGTTCAGAAGGAGGTTCATCATCTTCATCATTGTTGACATAATCTTGATATCCAAAGTTAAATTCGTTGCCTTGATCCAATAGATCCAAATTATTGAGGTCGCTAGTTGACGGCGTAGGAGCTTCCGTTTGGATCAATGCTTGGCTAAGTCTGTTGCATTTTTTATTACACCAGTCCTCCTCGATTTTGTCCCAATTTGATAGCATCTGAGATGACTGACTTGAGTTATACCTTGCCTTCTTCAAACCATTTGCTGGAGGCAAAGGATCATTTGGTCCGCGAGGTGCCATCTCGATTTGCGTGCAAGATTAACTCGATTGGTACAGAAGTTTTTAAGAGGAAGGGGAATCTAAATTAAAGAAGGTGATGTAATCTATTAACAAACAACTAGCAATCGGTTGGTGTTGAAATGGCTCGTAGTATGGGCAGGGAATCTCCCCAAAGGGCTTCCATGTCGGAATCAATCCTCCAAGAGACCCCTTTGGGAAATGTAATGGGGTCTAATCTATTCAATTAACCGTTTTGAATGAGATGACCGTTTTGAAAGGTGTCATGCCAAGCTAATGTGAGAGGTAGCCGCACATCATGGTAGACGGACATCATCACAATGATGTCCGTTCTCATATCTCATTTCAATACGATTGTGCAAAAGTTGTTTTGATGGCTCAAGACGAATAGGCAACAAATGCTTTCATCCAACTCACAGAAAGCAAGTGTAGGAGAAACAACATTCTTCTAAGATGTGTAATAATGATATTTAACTTCGTACCAAAACTTCGAAAAGTCCAATCACGACATGAAGATGAGGTGCTATCCAATTCATGCCTTATCAAAGTGGGCATGAAATTGCAAGTACTACCTCCTGCGAGAAAAACTAACCTTTGTTGCTGTTTTTAAGGGAGTTTTCTGAGAGTTCGAGCCGACATTGAGCGATCCTAAAAAACCAAAAAGTGAGCTCAAGCAGTGCAGATGCAGAGCAATCATAATTCTGACTCAACAAAGTGGCCTTATTTTTTGATTTTACATCCCCCACGCGGAAAACTAAGCATCAGAGTGGTTATATCTGGGTACTTCATCAAAGTTTGACCTTATAATGTGATCAAGATTCATGATAAACATGATATAAAGTGATATATGAAGTTGAAGATGAAGAGTTTGGAATAAACATGGATAATGAAAGTAATTCACCTTGGTGTCAAGCATCTTTTTCATTATCAGCATTTATACAAAACTCATCATCTTCAAACTGTTTGAGTGGTTTTTGTTCTTGAAGGATGAGTAAAGATAACTTTTTTGAGCTCATCTTTGGACATATGAGAATGAAGGTGAGGAGTGATGGAGAAAAGTGATTATTGAGAAATGTGCAGGATGCATGGAATCTCATTTTTCATTATAAAAGTTTCTTCATAAATGGTGATCTTCTCATTGGTTGGGCTACATTTGTGTTGATTATCTTGCACAAAAACACGGGATGCATTGTTTGACAAATCTTGCATTACTGATTTTTCAAAAATTTGGCCACAAATTAAGGACAAACATCACACTAACAAGTTTAAGATGTGGATTTATCCAGAAAGTTTTATAATGAAATATGTGCAATTATGCATGCTGAACAATTTTCAATAATCAAGTTTCACCAATACTCCACATCTTCATTCTCATATTTCCAAATATGAGCTCAAAAAAGTCTTCCTTACTCACCCTTCAAGAACAAAAACCACTATAGCAGATTGAAGATGAAGAGTTTTGTATAAATACTGATAATGAAAAAGATGCTTGACAACAAGGTGATCCATCTTTATTATCCATGTTTATTCCAAACTCTTCATCTTCATCCCTTTATGCCGAGATTATGCATCAAATTGGTACAAATTGCCCCACTCAAGCATACAAAGCAGTCAAATACTTTGAAGATGAAGAGTTTTGGGACATTGTTATTAATGAAAAGTGTTTATATATGCAAGCTGAAACTGTTAACTATCAACATATATTTCTAAAACTTCATCTGCACCCTCAAATTGCAAACTTATGCCTCAAATTGGTATGAATTTCACCACTCAAGCATAATACCCACTCAAACAGTTTGAAGATGATGAGTTTTGTATAAATGCTGATAATGAAAAAGATGCTTGACACCAAGGTGAATTACCTTCATTATCCATGTTTATTCCAAACTCTTCATCTTCAACTTCATATATCACTTTACATCATGTTTATCATGAATCTTGATCACACTATATGGTCAAACTTTGATGAAGTACCCAGATAGAACCACTCTGATGCTTAGTTTTCAGCGTGGGGGATGTAAAATCAAAAAATAAGGCCACTTTGTTAAGTCAGAATTATGATTGCTCTGCATCTGCACTGCTTGAGCTCACTTTTTGATTTTTTAGGATCTCTCAATCTCGCCTCAAACTCTCAGAAAATTCCCTTAAATACAGCAACAAAGGTTAGTTTTTCTCACAGGAGGTAGTACTTGCAATTTCATGCCCACTTTGATAAGGCATGAATTGGATAGCACCTCATCTTCATGTCGTGATTGGACTTTTCGAAGTTTTGGTACCTACCTGCTGAAAGTTGAAAGTGGAGTGTACATACGTATAGAAATGTTTAATTTAATTGTATTTACATACATAAACCAATATGTAAATAGTAGATTGTTAACATGTATAAGTACATGACTCCAACATGGATAGTAAACTTGATATCATCTCAACTTACCTCAATATCATCACTACTTGAGTCATCTATGCAAACGTACCAAAAGCAAGTCAAACAATTACAGTCAGCTTCATATTCGGACTGATAATAGAGTACTTATCCCAATCATCTTAACATACCAGAATCTTACAATTCAAAAGATTTCCCTATCATATCAAAACAACTTATTCCTTTTTTATTCTTCGCTTACTAGTCTATCGTATTGTGGAACAGCTTTCCTTTCAACAGCTCTCCCTATCATATCGAATCAACTTATTCCTTTTTTATTCTTCCATTACTAGTTTATCGTATTTTGGAACATTTTTCATTTTAAAGTCAAATAATCAATCGATTGCTCCCAAATTTTTTTCAACACTCACCAAGAAGTTATTCAGCCAAATAGTGTCCTGAAATACCTGATTCTTCTATGGTACTCACCAATTCCTATCAAAATTGACTATCAGATTGATTCGAATCATTGCTTCCAAAGTAGAAGTTAGCTTACTAGAATCTTATTTCGCTAGACATCCCTTCTAGTCAAAGACCTTTTCTTCTTACATCACTGAAAATTCCCGCTTCTGCCAAATCTCATCTCATCATCCAGTCAAATATCACTTTTAACGTACTACTCTCGGTCAAAACCTTCAAGTCTGATTCATCCCTGATTCATCCAATTGAAAATTACTTATAACGTACTAGTCCTATTTCGTTCAAAATCTTCAAGTTTTATTTCGGTTAAAATCTTTCAAGTCAAATCACAGTCCTTTTCAACACAAACCCTTTTCCAATATAATTATCGACTCATATCCAAACTTCCGTGATGCCTCCTCGCACTCGAAACAAACGAGCTTCAGCCGCTTCCAAGTCCTCTAATCAACCCAACCAACCGGAAGATTCGGCTCAAGGGACTAATGAATCAAACAATTCAACTCGAGCTACTTTGTCCAAGAGAGCTCCTCAAGGTCCGCGCTCCACTAAACCACCTAAACGAGTTCGTAACAACACCAACACCAACCTTAACGAACCATCTACCAACGATACGTCTGTCGGTGCTGAAGACCTGGACAATGAGTCTGAAATCACTCCAACACTTGACAATTATAAGACCTTGATAGATTCATGGCCTCCTGGCCGTATTCGTGAACATCTCGAAGAACATAAGTCCTCGACTCGAAATCGCCTGTCGTCTGAAATTTCAGATTGTGTCAAACTGGTCTACAATCAATTCAAGCAAGAGCTTCTTATGCTCGCTATGATTGCGAAAGTGAGTGAAACCACCATCAAGTCGTATATGTAAGTCTTTTTATGTATGTATTATGAATCATTTGTTTGTAATAACATTACTTACTCTTTTGCATGATGCTTATCAGACCCGAGATGTCGGCAACAAGAGCCATCAGCCGCTATACAATCTTCCTTGAGTACTGTGTGGATTGCTTGACCGAACCAAGTCAGTGGGGGTTTTTGAATTTGAAATCTTCATTTTGATTGATTGGCTGACCTGAAACTCTTTAATTGAAATTTTTAGTGCCGCTGAGAGGTCAAGATGAAAGTGGAGATATACTGGGTGACCGTAATCGGAAGACCGGGGCAAAATGGCGAGCGCTTTCAGATGATGAGAAAGCGGTCTTTGAACCCATCAACTTTTACGCATTGGCTGGCGTGCCTAACCCTTTGCTGGATCCCGAATGTGAAGAAGAGGCAGTGGATGTTGAACAAGAAGAGCTCGAGCATCACGGTGACTCGTTTATCCCGGTTCCGAAGGTTCACAAGCTTAGTGTTGAAGACGATGCCCTTTACCGGCCTATATATGAACGGTTGGTTGATCTTGTAAAAGTTGAAAACAAATCAGGCAAGCCTCCAACAGGACCTTCACCAACTCAGATCCAGCGCAAATCGAAGTCGGCTTTTGAGAAGATTGCTCATCAGGTAAGTCACATCTATTGACTTCGATTCATCCATTTCATTCACATAATACTAACTTCTCCTGTATGAACTAGCTCTCTTGTGAAGCTAATCGTTTAGATTTTGCCTACTACCTAGTGGCCACGAGCACAGTGACCCCAAACAAGTCCTCCGAGCTGGGATGGCTCAAGCAGCACACGACTCACCCGCAAATAGCAAGTTGGGCCAACAAAACCTGTCGCTTTGCAACCGTCTTCGCAACTTACTCGCAAGGGGTTTCAATGGCAAAGGCCATAGCCACAGTTAACAACAAACCAAAACGACAACGTCCTGATAAACAACAGCCTAGCGATAAAATTAAGGTTGATTTAGGACGTCTCTTGGCAGCTCTGACATGTGAGTTTCTTCCCTTGAAAGACCAATCGTATCATCTTTCTTTTATCTATTGTTAAAATCGAATGCTCTGCTTGTCTTTGTTCTCAGACAAAACCTTAGGATACAATCCCCCTCAATCTTTTCCGCAAACTGCCGATCCTGTAGCCGAATTGAAAAGAAGGGCCTTACCAATCTCCATCGTTCTTACAGAAGGATCAAGACTGACCATTGAAAAGCTGGAAGTTGGTTTCAAGAAGATGCGATCGGCGACACGACTCGAGTGGGTTAATGATATTAAAGACGGCAACTTTTGCTTAACAAAATTGAAAGTTGGGTCCGATGAGGCAAATGGCGAGCCAGTGGCTTTAGATGCTACAGATATTGAAACAGCTTTGGCTACTTCCCCTCGCGCCATAGACAAGGTGATAGGCCCCATCAATAACAATACCGGTGATCAGCCTAACACAAATCAAGCATCAAAAAATGCTGAGAAGAAAAAAGATGGAGGTGATAGTGACACGACTTTAGATAGTGATAGTGAAGAGGAAGAAGATTGATTTTCTGACTTGATTATACAAGTTTTTGCTTAAGCTTACAAGGATTAAAAATGTAATGATCCAATTAAAATGATTCTTTTTTCTTTTTAGTGTTTTGTTGTAACCTCATCAAAGGATGCCAAGTTTCATATCTCAGAGAACTATCGATTTTACATATCTGGCGATACAATCGATTAAAACGTTGTTTTTTCCTTTCTCCTTTTTTCTTTCGAATGTTTGCTTTTTCTTTTTGGTGTTATTTTTAACCTCATCAAAGAAAGCCAAGTTTCTCACACATCTCATGTTGCACTAGAGCAAGCTATCAGATGTTACAAATCTGATGATACAAATAAAGATTTTGTTTCATGTTAATCATGTTAAGCAAGCTTTAACATGAGAAACCGAGTGCGAATTTTTTTGTCTTGTGAAGACCTACAGTATTTTGAGAAAATTATAAAGAATGAGTGCCAGATGAGTCTGCCCCCTAATCGCTGTGGAAAAGTTGACCAGATTAGGGCCAGATTGATTCTCCCCTTGTACAGATGAGATGTGATATTTGACTTGGTCATATGAATAATGAGGATGGAATCTGACTGATTGCAGCTATGTATCGGGTCAGATGTAGCCAGATGTGCTTTCCCTTCTCAGTGCGAAAATGATACATATTGACAGATGAAGCCAGATGAGATTTCCCTCCTGAGTGCGAAAATTATACATATGGACAGATGAAGCCAGATGAGATTTCCCTCCTGAGTGCGAAAATTATACATATGGACAGGTGAAGCCAGATGAGATTTCCCTCCTGAGTGCGAAAATTATACATATGGGCAGATGAAGCCAGATGTGTTTTCGCCTCTTTATATTGACATCATGAATTTTGAGAAGTTTTGTATCTCATCTGGGTTGATTGTACCGTTGATGACAGATGAATCTGTATGCTGTAGCCAGATTGATCTGCTTCAGTCATGGCTGTGTTGATAGCCATGACTGTAGCAGATGAGTCTGGCTAAAACACGCACACTCAATCTGAACTCAGATTGGGCAGATTTGGTCAGATGACCCTCATTCTGGCTGTTCATGAGATTTCTGGACTGTTACAAGCATCTAAAGGGGTTGGAGGTTAAAATGTCCTCTGATACCTTTTTTTGAGTGTTCATGACATACATGAACACTCATGAAATGAAGATTAAACATGAAGAAATTCTGGAAGAAATGTCTTATAATTTCGAAAAATTTCTTCAGATGACTCTGACAAATCTGTCCTCATCTGCAGGCGGTTTTTCGGCTTCAAGCCGTTGATAATGCACAACGTTATCTTCGGGTATAAGCGGGGCCATCTCGGTGCCACAGGTGCATTCTCAGTCTCTCAATGATCTTGGAATTACAAATTTCCAACTGTTATTCATTCATTCAAGTCAACCTCTCAAGCCGATTGATTTGTCACTTTTAAGCTCAAACCTGCTTGGTCATCTTGAGCAAGTTCAAGTCTTAGAATTATCAAATACAGTTCTGGAAAGTAAGAACAGTGATTGTGATTCACCTTACCCTTAGTGGAGTGTTCCAGGTTATTTATGTGTAGTGTGAACTTCATTACATCAACCAACTTGAGCTAATCACACATTCTGTCATTTGTTCCGTTGTACTTGATTCTTGATTTAGATGGGCTTCTGTCTTGATTGATGTTGGGTCGATCAGTAATAAACAATTTAGAATGGCTGGCGACACCTTATATAATCATATCTATCAAGTCAGTTTTCTTATGACCTTCCGTAGAGATTTACAACTAATCTCGACACATACACATTTTATTTTAGTACTGACAACTTTTGTTTGATAAATCTCATCAATTATAGACAAATTGAACAAGCTGGGAAGATTTTTGATAGCAATCGACAATATGGTTCTTGACCTGCATTATTAACAACATCAATCAAGTCATCTATGGAATCATACCATTGGTTCATTCTTGAGATTGGTTAGAGTGAGCAATCATAGCCTTGGAAAAGTACTACCAGTATTGGGTCACCATACCTCAGGCAAATCTTGAATGCTTCTATGATTCCGGTCCAAGTGGTAGGATGCAACTTGAAATTGCTCATGAAGTCGATAGTTTATAACAATAGTGCTTCTGTTTTTTAGTGTATACAGTGGTTTTACAAAGAGGTTCGACTATGGTAAGTGGCTTTTAATCGAGACCATGCAGCTCAAACTTCTTTGGCTGATTGAAAACCACAACTCCTGCATCCGTTTCATGAGATCTTTTACAGAGTATTGCGATAAACAACAAAAATATATATGGGTAATTTTTGAGCAATTTGATACATCACGCCGATCTGTTTTGTTTGCTCAATTTCAAGCATGGATCACAATTATTCGAATTTCAAGATGAATTCTCATTGAATTGACCTTGATTTGAATTAATCACCCTCGGTCCTCAACCCTGTTACCTGCGCTCCTAAACTTAACAAAGTCCCACGCTTGCGCATCCTCGCGAGGGACTTACGCCAAATGTGTACACTCCATAACCTCAGAGATTTGGGTTTGGCAGGGAGCTTGCTTCAAGTCCTTATAACTTTTTCCACACCGAGGATTTGGATATAGTCCAAAGAGAGGACTTGTGCGCTGATATCTTGCGCTGAGACTACAATTTTTCTTTCCCGAGGAAGTTAATCCATTCTTGCCAAAAATGTGCTTCAAATATCGGTCTTAGCCGCAAATTTGGACTCAAGAGAGAGGTTACATGTGTAATCTGTTAAGAGCCAATATTTGATGCACATTTCTCGGGGGAAAAAATATGTACCTTATGCGCCAGAGTCAGGCGCACAAGTTCTTCCTTTGGACCATATGCAAATCCTCGGTGTGGAATAAGCTATAAAGGTTTGAAGCAAGCTCCCTGCAAAAGCCAAATCTCTGAGCTTATGGAGCGTACACATTTGGCGTAAGTCCCTTGCTTGACGCCTTGCGAGGATGCGCAAGCGTGGGACTTTGTTAAGTTTACTGCGCTCCATGACTTGAACAATTTACTTCGACAGGTATGAACAATTCACAGCTTCCAATTGTCTTTGACCAATCAATTCAAGCACAAAATCCAGATCACATTGAGAAATCATGGTTTAGATCATTACTGTCGTTTTCGAAAAGCTTGTCCAAGTTTTCCCGCCAAATTGCTCGAGTTTTGCGGGAAAACTCGGACAAGCTTTTTGAGAACGACAGTACTTAGCCATCTCTGAAAATGATAGGACTCAATAGATCCGAAGCAATACTGTAGTCTAAGATTCAGAGAACTGATTTGATTTAATTCTCAGCGTCTATCTGACCTCAATCAAGTGGTTTGAAATGGACTTGACCTCTTCAACCTCCTTTGTAAGGAAAGGTTTTGATGCTATCAATTCAGATCTCCGCTCTTCTTGACATCACTCTGATGAAGCTCAAGTTGTTCACTTCAAATCGAATCAGGTCAACAACATCAATATCATGGATGGACCTTGGATCATATGGCTTGAATTGAATCAAGTTAACATTAACATCAATACTAAATAAATCAGATTTATATCATCATTTTAACCGGTTGAGAAAGAAAATAATTCACATTTTGATTGACCAATAAACAAAATCACCAAGTTGATCTCTTTTGTGCGTTACATTATGGAGATTTGGGATCATATGAATTTATCAATCTCGATCTTGATGAACTCATATCACTCAATTTGACCCAACTGTGTACAGTAGATTTCGAAAGGCTTGAAATCCAAGAAATCGAAAATCAAGACCTGGTCCATGCGCCTGGCAGTTAAGTTGTGACAGCTGTCAAACTTACCTGGCCAATCGAAGAAAATACATACAGAAAGATCCCATTTTATGACTACAAAGAGCCCCAGTCTGCCTGGATCTCAAAGCTGCTGTAGCTTGCTTGGTTGAGCAACTCACTGGTGTGTTGTGGGGTTTGCCTCTCTGACTGTTGACTACTCGAGTTCAATTCTTGCTTTTGCTACTGTCAGAACGTTTTTGAAGCAAGTTTTTCTTGTTTTTCTTTGCCTGTTGTCATGAAACAAAACAAAGAAAACAGCAACTTTTGTTGTTGCGTTACATTTTTTGTTCACATTTTTTTGTTAACTATCTTGACAAAAATAAGACTTGCACAAAAAGCAAAAGCGCGAGTCAAACGCAAAACTCGTCTACACAACATCCAGAACCACTTGACTGTCTACCGCTACACCACCAACTAATGAAAGGTGTGGTGAGTTTAGAGACTTCCATCTCAGATTTGTGATTTTAACATGTGTATTTTCTTTGATTGGCCAGGTAAGTTTGACAGCTGTCACAACTTAACTGCCGGGCGCACGGACCAGGTCTTGATTTTGTGATTTCTTGGATTTCAAGCCTTTTGAAATCTAAAATCAACATTACAATTAAGCACATGCAATCAGTAATCAGAATTGTAATCGATTGCCAATAGGGGTACACAAACTTGAACACCCGACCTAAAAACCCATGGACAAAACCCATGACAACCTGATTGTTTTTTGGGTTTTGTCCATGGGTTTTCCGCTTTCCCGTTGGACAAAACCCAAAAAACAACCGGGCTGTCATGGGGTTTGTCCATGGGTTTTCAGGTCGGGTTTTCATGTTTGTGTACCCCTAATGAAACTTGACATCAGCCAATTGACAAAATTTTGATTTCAAGAACAATCGACCTCTTTCAACCTCCATCTAACAAACAGATTTGAAAACAAGACTTGTGCGTTTTGTCCTTACACCAAGCTTTTCAAGTCTATCTTCTGTTTGAAAACCCTATGAAAGAATCAAACTCCACCGTCCTCCTGTGAAAGCTGAATCAGATCTCCAGCAATTAAATCTCAAAAAACTAACAACTTCTTTTGCTATTGGCACAGGAACACCAATAACCATCAAGTATGAGTTTTGTCAATCCAATGATATACTACCAAACAAATTGACCGATCAAGCACACATAGTAAGCTTCCAACAATTTGTTATAAAGGAGAGTTTTCTTAGAAAAGTTGGCCTCAAAATCCCACCATTCATTCTACCAATCAACACACATCTTTTGGATCCAAATTCAAGTACATGTGCAATCAAAGTCGGATCCACGTCTTTGTTGTCTCAATCAATCATTTCACCATTAAGACTAAATCTGGTTTAATTGCCGTTTGGTTCTCATGCAAGGTTCAATCTCAACAAATCACATCCACACCTAAGAAGGTTATATTCAGAGAACCCACAAGAGAACCCTCCATTAACCTCCCAAAGTTCTGAAAGTGGATTTGAACAATCTCTTGATGTATAATTATGAAATTTAGATGACACACCTATCCTAGGTAAGACAAAAATTTTGAAGACTTATCTTATTTGACAACATGTTGCATTTTTAATTCTGACCATCAATTGGATTTTGGTATTGTGATAGATCCCAATGCTCCAGTATCATTTTTATATGAAAATAATGGCCAAGAACCGTTAAGATTAATCGGATTAGGAGTTTTTACTGCATCTTTCTTGGGAGTTTGTTCTGCTGGGTGTTATTTCAATCCACATGTACTAAGAGCATTAAGATTTGTACTACTACCAGGTTGGAATGTAAGTTTTGAACTCCTACATTTAAAATACATTTTGTCTTTGAAGTTTAGGTACTGATTGGTGTCTATCATTGGCTTAGGAAGATGCGACAAAACAAAATTGCTTTTGACCAATGCTGATTCTAGAAGTATCAGTTTACCTACTACTTCTGCTACTGATGAAGAATTACCACCTGTTATTGAGAAACCTATCTTGCGAGAAGCTTTAATGTGGAATTTCATTACTGTATCAGTTCAATTTGATATTCAGATTGGTATGTGTTCATTTGAAATTATGAGGAAGAAAAAAAGAAAAAAGAGATCTGATATTGTTTTCTTTTCTTTTGTTTAGCACCTGCTGGATCTGCAGATTTCACGTGTTAGCTGTCTGTCCCTCCCTTTTTGATAAACTTCTTCACTTGAGTCATTGTTTCTCAAGTCTTTTCAGCCTATTTTTCTTCTACCTATAATTTCCTTGGATATGAAAACCTATTTAGATTTGAGAGATGTATTTTGTAGGTCATTAACAGCACATGTAACTCATGCTACAACAGACAGTTTACTACTTGATTTTGAAGCAGAGGTAAGCCATCAATTCTTTCTAGAGAAACAGAAACACACAAGTAATTTGAAGTTTGATTTTGTTTGATGATTGTATAGCATGCATCTAAATCTGTCAATCAATTTAGATTTTTTTCTGGAAGGAGTCTTGGTTCATAAAGCAAAAAATATCTTCCTTAGGAAAACTTTAAGTGGTAGCTTATAACTTTGATATGGCGTAAATCAAAAAGGAGAAAAAGAAATCTTGATTTAATTACAAATATTATCTATTTTGATAGTGTGATTTTTGTAGTAATTAAATAGGGCAAAATATTAGGACAAGTTGAAGATCCTTTAATTGCTTGTGAACTTTTCTTAGCATACTCTTCCAATGTGGATCTTAGCTTTAGAAAACTGTTGCATTGCACCATTTTTCAGACCTCATAATTATCAAGTTTCACTGTTTGTGACACACAATGTTTATTTAGGAGACGTGTAACATGTGTAAAATTAATGGTATGTAAAAATTCCTGCGTTGCATCAAAATTATCTTGAAATTTATTGTGAATTACACCTCTCATGTTGCAAACAGGAATCAGGGAATTGGCTTGATAACAAATTACAGGCATGAACCCGGAAATCCAAATTAAAGGTGATCCCAATGAGGAACAGGTTTGTATAGTCTTTTTACCAAGAGTTTAAATGTGATCAGCCTTGGTTCTCTTTTTGTTGATCAAGGATGTAAACTGTTTGTTTCAATGTTAATTGAAAATTTTATTCCATGTCTTAGATTTTATTTCTGTTTGTAATTTTATGCCTTTTTTAGACTTTTATTAGATGTTCTACTTTAGTTGTGGGGAAGTTGTATTAAATAAGTGAATTGTTACTCTTTGTTGCTTTACTACTTGTGCCTGTGTGGTGGTTTTGAATTATAACACTACGCCAGATTGAAAATTTACCGCTGAGTTTAGGAAATTAAGACAACATAGAAAATTATACACAAGGTGGAAGGGGTCAGAAAAATGTGGAAAAATAAGGGATGCGTCCCCCCATGTGTGCCCATCATTTTGCATATTTTTTCAGATTTTTAGGGCAGCAGTGTATATCAGGTCAGAAACTCAGTTTATGTCCAAAACTGGCAGTCATTGAGGCATTAACCTTGTGGGAGCAACATAATTGTCAAATGTGCATCAAAATCTGTAATGTCTCCACATTTTGAATGCTACATGTTTATTCTACCACATACACATTTTAATGAGTGGTGTGTGTCCAACAACACAGAAAGCGCGGCAATCACGGTCCTCATCAGCAAAGCTAGAAAAGCTTATAAAACATTGCTGTAATGGTTTTAGCATTCAAATCAAAACTGTAGACCCAGTGTGTGGCTTTCATAATTTGCAACTGCCAAATTTATGGCAGGAAAATTGTTGTATTTGTGAGTGCTCAAAAGTTTCTGCCCAAGCCTTGGTAGTTTTGGACAAAATCTGAGTTTCTGACAAGATATACCCCAAATCATTTTTCTTTGCAACATCTTCAAAACTGCAGGTAAAAATATGAAAAAATGTGAAGAATGATGGGACACCACAGGCAATTAAACCATAATTTCATCAAATTTTTCTAACCTCTCACGCATTGCTGAAAATTTTCTACATTTTTACTTTTCTAAACTCCACGGTAAATTATTGATTTGGTGTAGTGTAACTTGAGTGATGTACACAATACACAAATTTTGATGAATTTCCTCAATTCCCAGTTTGCAAACTGAGAGTATCTGCAACCTTTGAGCCTCAAGGTGGTGTCAGCCGCTAGAGCGGCGCCCGCCGCTAGATAGCTAGTTTACTGTGATTCACAGAATGCTTATAAAATGTGAATTTTTGGGACGTCCCAAGAAACCATCATTACCAAATTTTCCCTTGAGGAGTCCCATTTGAAATTTCTTGACTCTTTTGTTACAGTGTGTAACACGTTTTTTCAAATTTTACAAATTAAATTCCACTGTACAGAAGCCCTCACACCACCTATTACCACCTTCCTCAACTCAACATATCTTAAGGTGTCATGAGTTTGTCTCTATTCTCTCAAAAGGGAGTTGAGTGAAAGTCAATCAGTGATTGGGGTACAACCAGACACTCCAGTCAAGTGATCAAAATTGTTCTCGAGGGTTGCAACTGGGCAACCTTCTGGCTCCTTTGCTGGTGCAGCAGCCATGCCATTGGCAGGATCAAAAGATATTGTCAAAATGGTGTTGAGGTGAGAATTCCTTGGGTCAAAATTGAAAGTCAAATTATAGTTGATTCTAAAATTGAGCGGACAGGATTTTGCCCAAGTACAAGTTAAAATGACCTCAGTGCATACTACATATCACTTAATGCATATTGCATAGTGCATTCAAGGTGGACCTTGCCGGCTCATCAGGGACACCATACTGAATGCACTCTATGGTACTAAACAGGGAGCAAGGCCCTGGTGGGAGCACATCCAGTTAATATTAGAGTCCCTTGAATTGAAGCAATTTGATACAATCAATCTCTATATGCCTATAAAGTTAACAGTGACACCTATATCATCTGGCTTAACAGTGATTGCAGAGGAGTGATCACATCATCTGATAAACCATTAATGGTAGACGGTACCCAAAGGCACAACGGTACCGTCTGTTTCCACGATGAGTGGCGGGGTCGGCCTATGGGAAGTGGGAGAAAACAGCCTTCTACCAAGGGTAGGTTTCTCCCGACGCGAGCTCAAAGAATTGGAGTAAAAGGAAAATCCCTTCACTCCTGCTTTCTCCCCCACGCGTCAACTTCCCCATAGTCGACTATCCCACACTCGGATCCGGGGAATTTCACTCTCTCATCTCCTACTTGAAGCCATCTGGCTTGAAGCTCTCTTTTCGAAATCCTTCTTAGTTTTCATTATTGAACTCAACATGTCAACGGATAACATCAACAACCCTGTAATAACAGACACTTCCACAGGAAATACGTCTAACACGGAAAGGTTTACTCAGATGTTGAGAAGGTCAAGTGTGAGATTAAGAGCGACGTCCGTCCCAGCATTAGATTCTGAACAGACAACGAATCCCCCATTGGGGCCCGACCGGTCACCTGCCGCTGAGGAAGCTACGCCTACTGCGACGAGCAGCCAACGAGGTGGGAACCGGGGAAGAGGTCGTCGAACTGCTAGAGGATCGGCTAGACCTACTGTCGAGAACAGGAACCAGGAAGGCGGAACCCCGTCGGTGACACTCACAGTGCCGGGCGCCAACGCAAATGGAAGTGCAACTCCTGGAGCGCCTTCGGCATCTAATCTTCAACCAGGAAGCGGTTTGTCAGCAATCAGTCAAGTGGGTTTAGGTACAACCCAGGGGTCCAATCGTACCTCCGTCATCCACCCGGCAGGTTCAAACTCGACAGGATTAATCGCTGAAGAGAACGTTGGAGGCAATGCAACCGGTAAGCCTTCTCTGAATTGACCACCTAGGGTGATGCCGCAACATGCGAAGTGATTACCACTTACAAGTGATGCCACCGCGAGGTGATGCCTCTCAGAGATGTGTGACCGAGTAATAGTACTAAATCGCACAATGTATTTCCATTTGCTGTCCCAGTCAATAAGTCACCTCCGCGCAGGAACACGACGTCTGCCGTGGTTAGCCCACCGAAGGGCATGCACTCTTGGTTGATTGCCAATGGATTGTCCTTAAACAATGCTTCAGGCTCAGTGACGCCTAATGGATTTACGACAGGACTTGGATGCCTACCTAAGACTCCTGCCAACCCGACTTCCAAACAAGCTCCTTGTTTCGACTTAACTAAAGATACCGACGATGATGCGACTCCGTCTTCAAAAGAAACTGACACGTCAAAGTCAACTGCTAAATCGAAACCCGAAGTCAGTACCAAGGGCATAGAAAACACCGGTCTAGTCAGTTTATCAAAACATTGGCACGACAAACTCTCGCCACTAGTGGGATACGTACCACTGTCTATCTTCAATATCAATTGGTTGAAATTGGACCTGCTTAGGACAACTTCTCGCCCCCGAACTTTGAAAGATAAAGATGACAAGTATGTCGGCATGGAGGTTCCAGAAGAGTGTAAGATGTCCTTCGGAGAGTGGGTGACAGCTTTCGATCTCTTCGTGGCCTATCTGGTGCATTACGAACATGTCGGCCTAGCTAAGGCCCCGTTTGGGAGCGGTTATTTTACCGCGGTATTTTTGTAATCGCATCAATACCACAGTGGTATGATCTTACCACGTTTGGTACCTTATTTTGCTGCAGTATTGTACCACAGTATTTAGACAATAATCTGTCAATACTGTGGTATTGCGATAATTGACAAAAACCTGTTTATGAAAAATAAATCCGCACGGTGAAAGGGGACTTCGTCAAATTTGATCTCTTCCCCTTCCCTTTGTAATTCATCGGCTCCTTCCATCCGTTCGATTACAAAACTCACTATCAACCCATCTTCAATACCTTCACACTTCAAGATGAAGACAACCACGAGTTCAATATGTATCAGTTCGTCAATCGACCTCATCGCACTGTACCTTTATCACTTCTTCCTTCAATCCACCGTTCCCTCAATCAATCTCGTCGCTTCTCAAATTCTGTCACTTGCTTTGATAACCTTGTTTCTCCTTCAATCAATCTCATGAATATCAAAGGATATGTATCTTTTCAAATTCGCTAACAATATGAAAAAGATGATCAAGATGATTCCTTGACAAGAGAAAAGTTCCAGTTGATTGGTGATGAGGTTCACAACTTTTGATGAGTTACGATGACCGAGCAAGTGAATTAATGATAAAAGATTGTTAAGTTTGTTTGAGTGTGGATCGAGAACGAACGATGTCAGAGGTTTTGTGGGTATACATACATACATACCACAGTCAGGAGAAAATCAGCGCGAGTGGTGTTGAATTGCCAAACGATTATGACCAAAAACAGAGATTATAACTGTACCACACTACAAGTGCGGGTTTTCATCTCTACTGCATTATTGGGGCCAAAAATGCAGTACACTTTTGCAGTACATTACACTTTGTCACCGCTCCCAAACGGGGCCTAAGCGTTTCAAGGTCCATAAAGAGAACGTGTTCGCAATTATGAGAGAAAGGAGGAGTTGGCCAATGGCTTTTCGGTACGATATGGCAATACGAACAACGGTGCTTACTATTCGGAACTCCGACGGCAAATTAGCGGACCCCGGAGACCGGAACGAAACGATCAAGAGGGATGCCCGTCTAGAGACAGAACGTTTGGGTGACTTTGACCCTCGATTCGCAGACTGTAATCAACGCCGGAACCGCTGCGAAACGCTACGGATTCTGGGCCCCCGGCATATTGATGCGCCGGCTCCGCAATGAACCGCTGCGCACCCGATTGCAATTTTTTTCAAAAAAAAACCTCCGGCAATATCGTAGTGCAGTGAGCGCTATGATATCGCTATATATTGCGCTATATAGGCAGGATCAAAAAAATCGGAGGCAAGATAAAAAAAGTTGTATTTCATTCTAAAAAATTGATTACTACGTGTACTATACTATCAAGAACCAAGTGGACAAAAAACAGAAATAGAAAAAGGTTTTTTTTATATAAAAGGTGTTATGTTTAGATAAAGGGAGAGACTATCGATTATTTTTTCTTGCCTGTGTTTTTTTTTCAAAATCTTGTCTGTGTAGCCTTGAAGTACCTTAGCAGCTTCTGCAAACGCTCCATCAGGTATTATTCCCTCCTTTAACCAAGCTTGGGACCCGACCAACCGCTCCATGGTCTTAGGCAACATACTGCCTCGTGCAGGCGTACAGACATCGGCAGCGGCCGAGAATGTACGCTCGCATGCGCAAGACGTAGCTGATATCGCCAAGTAGTCGCGTGCAAGTTTGGCAAGCGTAGGGTAGTGGTGTTCGTGTTCCTGCCAGTCCATCAAAGACAAAATTAGTCAGGAGGAGTGATGATAGAGAAAGTAGAAAGAAAGAAGAAAAAAGTAAGAACACAGACCTTCCACCATTCAAGAGGGGTTTGATCTTTTCTAATCTTATTGTTACCATTCAAATAATCTTCCAGCTCCGTAGACTTGCTTGTATCGGCTTCAGATTGTCCAAATACATCAAACACATCTGGCTCATCTGAATTGTTGTTGTTTTCGGATGTTGGGGTTGGCTCGCACACAGGAGTTTCTTCCACAAGTTTATAAAAGGCCTTTGTAATCAATTGTTTAGCGTGAAGATCATGTTCAGGATAATGGAGGGTGAAAAACTTGGTTCGAAAACGTGGATTAAGGATTGTGGCGAGAACAATGGCTTCGGATTCGGCTGCTTCATCTTGGTAATCAGTAAGCCACTTGATCATAATGGTGATCGCATTATCTAAGCTCGGAAAAGCGTAACAGTCTTCTTGATGCACTTTGAGCTCGGTGATAACTCGCTTGTATTCGGCAAGGAGAATACAGCCAGTAGGGGAGTCTCCCTCTACTCTGGCTGTTGCGTCAACAAAGGTCTAACGATGCAAACATATGCATTAGTTGATAAGTAAAAGTGGACAATAAAAAAAAGGTGAAAATGTTGACTTACTTTCAATACTTTATTGACCAGCTCAACAGCTTCCCACTTGGAAGCTGAGATCGTAACCCCTTTGAAGAATCGTGCTTTGCGATCGGCAGCGATCATCGAGTTAATGACCTGTCAGCAGAAGTTCCAAGAATTAGACATTCAGTTCATGAAAAGTATTCACAATACTTGTTGAAAGCGTACCTCCTGTGCCTCGCAAGCCACCTTGCGACAGTCGTAATGGCTGTTCCATCTCGTTTTACAAGGTCGCTTGACCATGCGGCCTTTGTATCCCATTCGAGCCGCGCGGGTCTTGAAATCATTTCGACGCGCGGCACTGCTTGCTATTTGTCCACAGACTGCATCTACCTACATGAGATTGAAAAAGAATTATCAATAAGGAAGTTGCAAGTTTGGAAATGAAATATTAAGATAAAGAAAAACCAACCTTGTTTAGGGCAAGTGCAACGGCATTGTCCTTGTCACAAGCTACCACTCCCAAATATTCACCTAATACATCGTCAATGTTGTCTTCATCTTCATGATCAACACCATCGGCGTCATTTGGAAGATCATCGTCATCATCTTTGGATTCCGTACCATACTCGATTGGATCCTCGCCGTCATTGACTTCAATTCCTGGCACAGGGAGAGTAGCACCGTGGGGAATCGAGGGTTTTGTACGACCTACCTTCTGACCAATGGCCTTGAGACCATGTCCAACAACCAGATTAAGCTTATGGGCGTAGCATCGAACATGGTGAGTCGAGCTATCCCAATAAGCTGGATCATCAGCCTGTGAGAACATCGATTCAAGTTCGGCTGCCATTGTGCCGTTGTTACCACCACTATCGGTGGTCTGAGCGATGATGTAAATATAAAGAAAGAAAAAGATTAAAAAGAAAAAAAATAACCAAACAAACATAGAGATTAAACATGAAATTAACAAAGGACACTTATCTTTTTATGGAGCTTGTGCTTGATCAAGAACCGACCAATTGGTCGGGCTAGAAGAACCCCAAAGTGCCTCCAACTGATCATCTTCAGAGTGAGATGCGTTGACTTGTATTCCCAGCTGTTGTCGACATAATTTGCGGAGGCTCCGACAAAGGCAAATCGATTGCCTTTTGTCGTCCAAACGTCGTGTATCAAGCAAAAACGTCCTTTGTTTTCCTGTTTTGAGACACAGATAATAAGCAAATATTAGTTTTGTGTTGGACTGCGAGAGAGCAAAAAGCTACTTACTTGCAAGGCGGTAATGGCCTTATTATGCAACTCAGAGAAGAGGTCGACCGATTGTTGGGCAGCCCATGTCTTAGATCGGACTGTGGCACCTCGACTAATGGTATCAAATGCCGCGCGGAGGGTAACGTCTTCAAACCGGACCCAAGGGAGGGCGTGCCGAACGATCCACATGACGAGTATCATGTTCAATAAATCCACGCTGAACTTCGGCCCACTTACAAAAGCATCTAAGGTACCGTTTTTGTCTTTCGTGGTAGCCTCAAGAGTCTCAGTGTAGGTGGGCGGCAGATCGATGCCTGCAGTGATCGCTCGGTGTCGCTCCTTGCAGTGAGGCCGGTACTCGTTGCCATCCCGATGTCCCCACAGAGCAAAGTACGATGTTGGGTGCTTAAGGTAGAGATTTAAACACCATCAGCATTGGTACGACCGTCCCTAGGCGAGCAAGATACATACATATGTCAGCATTAATGAAATTTGGTGATTTCAAATTAAATTAAACTCACCTTGGGTGGGAAGAAGTATTCAAGCATCTTCTTGACAGCCATACTCCGACCCTCATTGTATCCAGCTTCCTTAACACCCACAATCTCGATGTCTGATCCTTGAGACAAATCTGCACCGTCGGGTACTTCGAAGGGCTAGTGACAGTCGATAGACAGATTAGATGAAAGAACGAAAAAAAGGTGAGTGAGTATCATATCATTGAATCAATCAAGCTAATTGATTCTTCTTACCTCCAAATTAGTCTTCTTGGCTGGACGAGGCG